CATGGCACTCTACCCAGGGGGACAGCTTGAGGCTCTGTCTCAAAAAAAAAAAAAAAAAACCTATCTTATCCTGCTCTGCAAGGTTTGGCTCTTTGTAAGAGCTGTAATAATACCTCTGTAAATAAAACCTAATTTACTGTCCATCCTGTGCCCCATCGATTCATTCATTGAATCATCGAGACCAAGAGCCTGGAAATCCAAAGTCAAAAATCCGGTATCATTAGGGCGGCACCCATAGCTCAGTGGGTAGGGCGACAGCCACATGCACTGAAGCTGGTGGGTATGAAACAAGCCCAGGCCAGCTAAACAATGACAACTGCAACAAAAAAATAGCCAGGTGTTGTGGCAGGCACCTGTAGTCCCAGCTATTTGGGAGGCTGAGGCAAGAGAATTGCTTAAGCCCAAGAGTTTGAGATTGCTGTGAGCTGTGACGTCTCTGCACTCTAACCAGCGCAACATAGTGAGACTCTGTCTCAAAAAAAAAATAATAATAATCTTTATTATTATTTTGTATTAATGAAAACAGATTTGTTTCTATGATTTCAAAGACTAAACTCTCAATTGGTGTTTCTCAAATTCACTGCACATATGAAACACCTAGAGACTTTGCTAAAACATAAATTTTGATACTAAAGTGGGGTCTGAGAGTCTGCAATTCTAAAAAAGCTGAACACTCTGTCAACAATCCTGGGCAATACACAGATCCATTGAAAAACAGTTTTTGATGAAGGCTATATATATATATATATTTTTTTTTTTTTTTTTGCCCCCCAGTTTTTGGCCAGGGGCTGGGTTTGAACCCACCACTTCCGGCATATGGGGCCAGCGCCCTACTCCTTTGAGCCACAGGTGCCACCCAAGGCCTTCTTATTTTCAAGTCTTTGGTTCTTAGTTCTGCCCACACTACAGAATCAATTGGAAAATTGGAAATATTTTTTGAAACATTGATCCCAACCTACCCTTACCTAAAAATTTGAAATGGAGATAATTTTTTTTAAAGTTCTTAGATGATTCAATTATACATACAGTGTTGAGAACTACTATTCGTCCACATAACATTTTCGAGAAAATAACATAGGCTACATTAATAGTTAAATCAATTATTCAGTTAAATCATTTGGTGATGTTTTACTTATCAATGGCTGAGTTACCTTAACAACTTGCTCAAAAATAAAAAAACAAAAACCCCAATTTGGGCTAAAAAAAGAAAATTTTTTTCTTTTTTGTGAGACAGTCTCACTTTATCACCCTCAGTAGAGTGCCATGGTGTCACAACTCACAGCAACCTACCTCAAACTCTTGGACTCAAGTTTCTCCTACCTCAGTCTCCCAAGGAGCTGGGACTATAGGTGCTGGTCACATGTTACAATATATTTTTCTCTGTGAACTGTATTCATGATCCTTGGCTATTTTTTAAATTGTGTTATTCATCTTACTCTTATTTATTCGTAGGAGTTTTACATATTTTAAAGAACTTAGACCTCTGTTGTATGAATTATATATTTTTCATTGGTTTGTATTTTTAGTCAAATTTACCAATTCTCCTTCTATGGTTCTTGAGTTTTTTTGGTCATACTTAGCAAAGCCTATTTTATACCCAGACTATACGAATTTTTCCTACATTTTCTTTTTTTTCTTTTTTTTTGAGACAGAGTCTTACTTTGTCACTCTCAATAGAGTACAGTGGCATCATAGCTCACAGCAACCTCAAATTCTTAGATTCAAGTGATTCTCTTGCCTCAGCCTCCTGAGTATACTATAGGGACAATAGGATACCTGCCACAATGGCTCATTTTGTTGTTGCTGTTGCTTCTGTGTGTGTGTGAGACAGAGTCTCACTTTTTCACCTGCAGTAGAGTGCTGTGGTGTCACAGCTCATAGCAACCTCAACTCTTAGGCTGAAGCCATTCTCTTGCTTCAGCCTCCTGAGTAGCTTGGACTACAGATGCCCTCCATAACACTCGGCTATTTTTAGAGATGGGGTCTCCCTCTTGCTCAGGCTGGTCTTGAACTCCTGAGCTCAAGCAATCCACCTGCTTTGACCTCCCATAGTGCTAGGATTATAGGTGTGAGCCATCTCGCCTGGCCCTGGGTTCAAAAATTTTAAAACCCTAGAAAGACAAGCAAATTTTGAAAACCAACTATTTCAAAGGTCAAACTATAAAATCACAAATATGATATAGTGACTAAAGAGTCTGTAGAACTAAAACCAAACATTAATCATAGTAATATGAGGCAACACCTTAATACTGTTATGCCTGCTAATCACTTTCAACCCTCCCAAAACATTCTAATCATGTAAACTAAAAATGAAAATATCTTAATGCTAAAACTTCCACCCACAGATTGCTTCTGAAGTGTGAGCTACCAAAACTACTAAAAGGCTGAATAAATCTCATGATATTGCACTGTCATCAATGAATTACTTAATTGCACAAAGGAGAATACCCTTATAGTTTCCAATCTACAAAATGTTATTAAATATTTTAAGGTTGATACTGTGACTGTGTTCTCAAAAAGCTTCTAAAACTTTTGTTTCTAATAATCATAAATAAGATAGCACTCATCATACTTATTACATATACATTTTGGCTTCTGGGAAAAATTACTTTCATATACTCAAAATTCTTTCTTCTTACCTGCCTGTTGGAAAACCAGAATTTCCGTTCATGGTATGCTGATAAATAGAGAGCATACATCATACCACTAGTAATCGCTGCAAGACAGCCAATGAAAATCTTTGCAAAGCGTTGAAATAATACATCTGAAAAAGCATATTAAAAGTAATCAAAATGTAATAGATACCCTTGATGTGATGTGATAAAAATGGCATTCTACCTCTATGACCTTCCTTCTCAAAACTCCAAACCCCAGTCTAATCATGAAAAAAAAAAATCAAATAAATTCCAATAGAGGGATACTCTACAATGTATCTGACCAGTACCCATTAAAACTGTCAGGGCTTTTATTTATTTTGTTTTTTTGAGATACAGTCTCACTATGTCACCCTGGGTAGAGTGCCGTGCTGTCAGCAACGTCAAACTCCTGGGCTTAAACGATTCTCTTGCCTCAGCCTCCCAAGTAATACCTGCCACAACAGGTGCCTGCCACAATGCCTGGCTGTTTTTTGGTTCTAGTTGTCATTGTTGTTTGGTTGGCCCGGGCTGGATTCGAACCCGCCAGCTCTGGTGTATGTGGCTGGCACCCTAGCTGCTGAGCTACAGGCACCGAACCTGTCAGGGCTTTTAAACAAGAAGACCCTGAGAAATTGTCAAAGCCAAGAGGAGCTTAAGGAGACATAATAGTGCAATATGGTACCCTGGGATCCTGGAATAGAAAAAAGACCTTAGATAAAAACTAAGATAATCTAACTAACATATGAACTTTAGTTAATAGTAATATATTAATAATGGTTCATTAATTGTAACAAATGTACCCCACTAATGTGAAATGTTAATAATTCCCACACAAGGAAACTGTGTGGGAGGGTGCAATATAGGAACTCTGTATTATCTGCTCAATTCATCAATAAATCTAAAATTATGGCTCGGCGCCTATAGCTCAACCGGCTAAGGCGCCAGCCACGTACACCTAAGGTGGTGGGTTCAAATCCCCAGCCTGGACCCGCCAAACAACAATGACAGCTGCAACCAAAAAATAGCCGGGCGCTGTGACGGGCGCCTGTGGTCCCAGCTACTTGGGAGGCGGAGGCAGGAGACTCGCTTGAGCCCAGGAGTTGGAGGTTGCTGTGAGCTGTAATGCCATGGCACTCTACCCAGGGGGACAGCTTGAGGCTCTGTCTCAAAAAAAAATAATAATAATAAAATAAAATAAATAAATCTAAAATTATTTTAAAATTAAACTCCACATTCTGGAAGAAGAAAAAGTTCTGAGCTCTATTTCACAGCAACATACTTTTTTTTGAGAGAGAGAGTCTCAGTTTCTTGCCCCTGGTAAAATACTGTGGAGTTAAAGCTCACAGCAACCTCAAACTTGGGCTCAAGCGATTCTCTGCCTCAGCCTCCTGGGTAGCTGGAACTATAGGTGCCCACCACAACACTTGGTTATTTTTATTTTATTATTTTTTTTTTTTTTTTGAGACAGAGCCTCAAGCTATCCCCCTGGGTAGAGTGCCATGGCATCATGCTCACAGCAACCTCCAACTCCTAGGCTCAAGCAAGTCTCCTGCCTCAGCCTCCCAAGTAGCTAGGACTACAGGCGCCCGCCACAACGCCTGGCCATTTGTTGGGTTGCAGCCATCATTGTTGTTGTTTGGCGGGCCCGGGCTGGGGATTCGAACCCGCCACCTTAGGTGTATGTGGCTGGTGCCTTAGCCGCTTGAGCCACAGGAGCCGAGCCTATTTTTAGAGATGGGATCTTGCTCTGGCGCAGGCTGGTCTTGAACTTATGAGCTCAATCAATCCACCTCCTTTGGCTCCCAGAGTGCTGGGATTATAGGTGTGAGCCACCCCGCCCTGCTCAACATAAATACACTTAACACTACACAATTGAATACTTATAAATGATTTGGATGGTTAATAAAATTAGTCTATTAATTTTTAAGAGTAAACAAAAGAAATGTATAGCCCAGTATCAAAGAAAAAATTAGTTTTTTGGTTCTTTTTTTGAGACAGAGCCTCAAGCTGTCCCCCTGGGTGGACTGAGTACCGTGGCATCACAGCTCACAGCAACCTCCAACTCCTGGGCTCAAGCAAGTCTCCTGCCTCAGCCTCCCAAGTAGCTAGGACCACAGGCGCCCGTCACAACGCCTGGCTATTTTTTGGTTGCAACCATCATTGTTGTTTGACGGGCCCAGGCTGGATTCAAACCTGCCACCTTAGATGTATGTGGCTGGCGCCTTAGGCACTTGAGCCACAGGCACCAAGCCAGAAAAAATAGGTTAATTCAGAATTACTATTGGTTGTTTTCCCTTCCAAGGAATTTTGTTTATTTTGGTTTTTTCCAATTTTTTTTTTATATTTTTAAAAAATTTAAGACAGAGCCTCAAGCTGTCCCTCTGGGTAGAGTGCTGTGGCATCACAGCTCACAGCAACCTCCAACTCCTGGGCTCAAGCGAGTCTCCTGCCTCAGTCTCCCAAGTAGCTGGGACCACAGGTGCCCCCCACAACACCTGGCTATTTTTTGGTTGCAGCCAGCATTGCTGTTTGGCGGGCCCGGGATGGATTCAAACCTGCCACCTTAGGTGTATATGGCTGGCACCTTAGCCACCTGAGCCACAGGCACTGAGCTTCTATTTTGAATAACTTATATACTATAAACTTGAGCCATTTGAAATGTACAATTCAGTACATTTTTATTATTATTTTTTTTTTTTTCTGAGAGAGAATCTCACTATGCTGCCCTTGGTAGAGTGCCATGCTTCACAGCTCACAGCAACCTCAAACTCTTGGGCTTAAGTGATACACTTGCCTCAACCTCCCAAGTAGCTAGGACTATAGGCACCCACCACAATGCCTAGCTATTTTTTGGTTGTATTTGTCATTGTTGTTTGGCAAGCCCAGGCTGGATTCAAACCCACCAGCTCCAGTGTATGTGGCTGGCACCCTACCTGAGCTACATGTGTCAAGCCCAATTCAGTACATTTTAGTAACTATGCTTTAAAACAGTGGTTCTCAATCTTTCTAACGCTGCTATGTATCTTCATTGTTACAAAGGGGTCGCAACACACAGATTGAGAATCACTGCTTTAAAAGCTCACCTACAACTGTTAACCCTACGTATGTATGCACTTGTATGTACACAAACTACTTCTTGATGCCATAACATCAAACACACAAACATACGGATTTTATATACACAGGAAGATTCAGTCATGCTATAGCCATTAAGTGTAAGAACCAGGAGCCTCAAGGGCCAAAAGCCAGTGTTCTGTTACTGATTGATTGACAGGTTTATAAAAATCAATTTGCTATTTAGCTAAACTAAAATCTGGGCTATTTTTTAAAATAATGTTTTAAAATATTATTTATTTAATAAATATTAGTTTGCAGCAACATGGTCTACTATGCAAGCTAGTATTAAATGGAATAATTAGGTATCACTAAATAACAAGTATTATAGTCTAAATGATTGAAAAATACCATCAAATAAATCAAATATTAGCATCACTATGATATGATTGTTTTAAAATTTCTATTTCCAACGGCACATGTAAAGCATTTGGCATGGTACCTGGTGTGTAGTACATAGTAAGAGTTCAACAAATATTAGCTATCATTACTGTGTAACACAAGCATACTTACAAAAACATATGAAATAGTTAAAGCAATGTTGATAATGTGAACTAGAAAAACTACTAAGAAAACTGATCTATGGTGGCAGTTTGAAGCACTTCAAAGTCCTTGTATATCTTTCCTATTTTTTTTTCATTAAAACTTAAGACAGGCTCGGTGCCTGTGGCTCAAGTGGCTAAGGCGCCAGCCACATACACCCAAGGTGGCAGGTTGGAATCCAGCCTGGGCCCGCCAAACAAAAATGACGGCTGCAACCAAAAAATAGTTGGGCATTGTGGTGGGCGCCTGTGGTCCCAGCTACTTGGGAGGCTGAGGCAGGAGACTCCCTTGAGCCCAGGAGTTGGAGGTTGCTGTGAGCTGTGATGCCACAGCACTCTACCCAGGGGGACAGCTTGAGGCTCTGTCTCAAAAAAAAAAAAAATA